AGTATTAGAACACAGATTCCAAGCAGTAAAGTTTGAGTTAGCGCAATCCCAGAATCAGGTTGTCTCTCAGCAAAGTTATAGTCCACAACAATTGAGTTCTCCATCTCAATCTTAAAATAAAATAGATGAGAAGGGTGTGCATTCCCCAATGAATACAATAAAATTTACTGTATCAGATAGAGATACAGCTAGTCCGGTTCAAACGGTAGCCGGTAAAGACTTATCAAATCCGTTTATGACTACCACTTTGTCAAAAAGTGAAGATGAAGGTTCATCAAACCAAACAAGACGAAGACTACCTAGAATATTGGTACAAGGAGAAGCATTGAAAAAGAAAGGAATAATCTCAAAAAAAAAAAAAATAAGAAAATAGAAGATATAGTTAAACAAATATTAAAAAAATTCTTTCAAACAAGAAGAAGCAAGACAAACATATGATCAGAAATCCCAGTCCAGAAATATCTCAGAGCTCAAGAGAAGATAATAATCTAAATTATCAAGATTCTCAAGACCCAAATGATGACTTAGGAATTAATTATCAAGATGCTCAAGACCCAAATGATGATTCAGGAATGAGTTTTGATTCAATAACTTTGCATAATCTTTACACGTAGAAGCAGACCATCATCGTAATAGCAAGAATAAAACAAAGAAAAAGATAAAGATAGTGAGAAAGACTCTGGCAAAAGTACAATAATGCAATAAAGAAAGGCATCTTCTACAGTAAAGCAAGGACAATAATGCAAGACCTATAGTAAATTAAGGACAATAATACAAGACAGACTCTGAAGACTTCACGCGAACAAGAAAAAAGAAAGATTCTTCAAACCAAATGAAGTCCAGAAGTGAAGTCCACAACATCTATAAATTGAGTGTTTCATGAAGACAAAAGAGAACAACGATAACAACTATCTAAAGAAAAACATACTCTTCCCTTCACCATTCCTTTCATCTACACCAGAAAAACCATCCTCCACAACTCTCTTTTTAAAATATTCCCCTTTTACTATGTATGTTTTAGTATTTTCTATCTCAAACCTGTAAAATAAATAAAGCTTTAAGCTTTAGTGTGCAAGTTTTTTATTTTCAAGTCCAGTAAACTCTTTCGGGTTTACCGAAAGGGAAATCTCTCTCTTGTAAACATGTAAGTTACTATTTTATAAATATTGTTTCTATTTATTACCCCGATTTATTTAAAGCTTTATATTACGTCTTATATCTTTAATTTCTTAGTTGCTAGTTTGCAAATAACAAAAAATCACTCTAAGTATATGGTTATCTTTCCAACTTCTTAATAACCTTGATGGATTAACCTGTAAATTCTTAGGAGAGGCCAGTTAAGATGAGCCCAAAATATTACGAGAAAGGCGTTAAAATGGGCAAATATAACTGCTGTCAGGGTGAGGTTAAAGAAAGAGGTGTTAAGAAAAGATCTATATCTTTAAAAGGTTGGAGAGAAGAGATGAACAGAGTGAAAAAAATAAAAAAAAATAAAAAAATAAAAAATATATATATAAAATGGGGTAATATCAGTTCATAATTTGATAAAATAGAGATCAAGAGAGAGAGAGTAATCTCATTGTAGTTGCATTAGATAACTTGATATTGCATTGTTCAATGCTTATAAGTTAAACTAATTCTTTTTAACTCTTGCTAATTCGCATAATCATACCTTTTAAATTTTAATTTCTTAGTAGTTGAGACCAATAAAATTATAATTTTTTAATAATTTTAGATGATTGAAGAATAACTTTAGTATTTTTTGAAAATAAACTCGATCTAATTCTACTATACACATCTTTACGACTCTAATATTTAGGTAATAGTGTTATTGGGGTCATGCGCAACATGAGCTATCCCTTACTCGTAAGATAACAAATCTGAAAAGGGTGAATATTTACCATCGACCATACATTTTTCGTTTCCTTTTTTAAGGTGGGGCAAGCAAGGGAATGATGATCTAGTAGGAAATAAGAGAACGAGAAATGAAGATTAAGGTAAAAAATAGAATAAAGTACAATAAACAATCTCATAATAAAACTCAGTTGTAGGCACATTTTTTACATTTTAAAATCAAATATTTGACCCCCAATATAATAAAATTGTACACAAATATTAAGTTGCACTACAATTCTATTGGGTAGAGCTGCTAAGTGCTTACTTTGAAGAATAAATGGTTGTATCATAATTAAATAAATTGAAGTGAGAGAATTTAAATGTAAATTAAAATTAAAAATAGAAAATCCACATGTGTTTTATCTTAATGAATTGTTTTATTAAAGAGAATAGTCTTTTTCTTACCTCTATAATTTTTTGTTGTTAACGAGAAGTTTTCTCAAATATGCATCTTTCAAAAATCTTAAACAGAGAAAGAGTACAAGTTACTTGATAATATCTATCAATTACCATAATACGTACTAATACTTTTTCGGTATATGTATGCTACTTTAATCTCTTGAAAATTTTCACAGTAGTTAATGTATAGCTCTTAATTTAATTTCAATTCCCTTTTTTATTGTTTCACTTAAAATTATTTTTGATTTACTTAGTTACTATGAATTAGCTCATATTTTAAAATCAAAACACGAAAACCTCTTATATACTCCCTCCGTTTTAAATTAGATGAGTTTTGTTTTTTAATTTGTTCCAAAATAAATGATACATTTGAAAATTTGAAAATAATTAAACTTTAAACTCTTTATTTTACTCATTTTACCCTTAATGAGAAGCTTTATAACCACACAAATGTCATGGCCCCATAAAACTTTTAAGACCACGAGTTTCAAAATTTTTATTTTTTTTTTATTTTCGTATGTAGTCAAACTATATTATTTAAATTGAAACGGAGTAAGCCATGTAAGCAGAGATATAACTGTTTAATCTTGAAAGATAAGGGTAACCTTTATATTAGTGTAAGATACTCAAACTGTCACTTCACTTCATCAATGGAAGAACCACTTCCCAAAAGAACTGCTACCACCCCTCAACCACCGCCATTTCCACCACCAACCACCTTTTCCTTGAAGGGTTCATCAAACTCCCACTTCAAAATTACAGCCAAAAATCTAATTCTCCTTCATTGAAACCCCAGTTATTCCAAAATTCAAGAACTCTGTCACCTTCTCCATCGCCGGCTAAGCCGCCGTTAGTGCCACCTCAATTTCCTCCACAGCTTTATTGGAGTTCCTTTGATCCCGCAGGCGGCTCTGCTTCTTATAAGAGAAAATCACCTGCTCAATGTGCACTGGCAAGAACAGCTAGCTAGTTGAGTGTCATTAACGGCGAAAAGCTCTAAAAAGCGTTGGCCAATAGGGCTTTAAGCACAAAGCTCACTTAAAGTGTGGGCTTTAGTAAGAAAAAGAAAGGCGCAACTACGGATAAAAATAAAATATATATGGAATTCAACCACAAAGTAACACATTCATTTATAATGTTTTCCTTATCAGCTAATTCATTTATTTTCTGATTATATTTTTGATTCCCGATAAAACTCATGGGCCATGAGGTGCATGTTTTAGTGCCTTGCCTTACACTGAAGCACAGCTTAAGCGGGGAGAAGCGCCCTCCCTGAGAGCTGCTCTCAGGGCTTAAACAACAACAACAAAAAATCCAGGGCTTAAGCGCGTAGCCTTTGACAACACTGAGCTAGCCACCAAATAATGTTAAAGAATTAAGTGACGCTTTTAATAACAATGGAGAATCTCCGAATGGCTTGAGGTTAAAGAGAATGAAGGATGGAATGAGAGAAATGATGCAATGGTGTGATGTTATGATTCAAGAAGATGCTCAAGTAGAAAATTCCCCTGAAGAAGAAAACAAGATGTTAAAGGAGCATGAGACAGAGACTGAAGCAGAAGCAGCACCGTGTGGTGTGGGTGGAGGGAAAGAGAAATTGTCTGATTCTGAATTTCAAGTGTCCCGGTGGTGAAGGTCATCAGATTCTTCTCTGTCGAAATAACTGCTACTACAAATTGTGAAAACCTTTCTACTCAAGTGCATTGGTGGTTTAGATGATGATTGTAAGCACTAACTGGATCAGATTCACTAATCATACAACAACTAGCTAGGTGCCATTTAATTCGGGAAATTTTAGCTGCATTCTTTCTGTAGTGTTCTGGAAATGTTTTAGATGATTGTAAGCACTAACTGGATCACTAGTCTTGTCTAGTTTGTTCTCATCAGTGTTTCATTCCCTTTTAGATTGTGAATTCAACATTCTGGAAATGTTATACATAATGAAGACTTGGTTCGACAATTACCACAGAAAAGTGAAGGAAAAAAGAAAAGATCAAAAGGCAGGTCAATTTGCAAGAAGAACCTCATTAGAAGAAACATCTCTTGTCTGAGTTCCGATACACCATAACTTATTTTCAGTCAATCAAAAAAGAAACAAGAATATCAAACCATTAAAAAACAAATGCCCGGGTGTCTCTTTCTACTTTGTATTCCTACCTACATCTTTCAATGCAAACATTGCTATCACTTTCTCATGTTCCACTTCCACCCTTTAAACCGCGCTAAGGCATGTTTGGAGTTTTTCTAAAGCCAAACTTTGACTAATATGCTAGAACCTACAAAATCTCACAGTTCATCCTTAACATCATTAGTGGTACTCTCGGGGCTTGAACTGGCATCAGACTCTGTAGGTTTCTGTGTTGAGGCCGGCTTTTGAATCTTGAAGGGGATAGATGCGTGCTTTTTCAGGAATTTGTAGAAGGCCACCACTGTACGGTCTGTGTCAACAGTAATCTGTAGAACAGGATGATCATTTAAAGATGAATCATCCATCGTTTTTAAGAAGCGAAATGGAATGGAACATATACAAAACAATTTTGGAAACACTTTAATTTATACTCACTGGATCAAAGCTCTTGTTGCCAGCTGGGAAGAACAGAAGTGTTGGGAATCCATCAGACTGCAATAAATCAAATAAGCATTAACCCAATATTCGAACAACCACAATAACTCCCTCCCCTCGCACCTCTCAAAGGATAAATGAAAAGAATAAACAATTGGCACTCTTTTCCTCCTATAGCTTGACTCTTTTACGAGGACCAAGAAAGTGAAATTTTTTTATGCATGGTGGTGAGACTTAAAGTTGGGACCTATGCATAATATTAATAATGTGACCATATTATCTAAATGTTTAAGTTGTTAGAGGCCACACTTTAGTTACGTGTGTCATCAACGAACCCTTAGTGTTCTAGGCATTTCCTTTCTTAAAGATAAATGTTGGTATACACCCGAAAGGATGCAGTATAACTTGAAGCATGCTCGCAAACATATCCAATCAACAAACCGACCATGTACTAGGATATAGAATCTGGCACATCCCTTGCTTGACACAAGAGTACGTAACTGAAGTCAAAACATGAAGTTGCAAAATGTACCTTGGCCCGGGGATGCTCATTTGTTGTACCATCCATCTTGGCAACAACAAGGGAGTCGATGCCTCTTAAATGCTTGCCAAGCTTGTTGTATATGGGTTCTAGTGATTGACAATGTCCACACCAAGGAGCATATATCTGTTTTGAATCACAAACCAAAACTCTCCATTAGACATCCAGAACAACCTCAAAAGTTTTGGATGTGCACTGCATCATTGAATAATACGTGCACTCATTCAAAACAAGACGACTAGTACCTCAAGAAGAACATCTTTTGATTCATCTAGAACAATTTCGTCAAAGTTATTGCCAACTACAACTTTAACATCCCCGTCATTCTGCATGAATGATTAAAGGGTTTGAGAAACAAAGCTCAATCTGAAGCTTAATGTTGGAAAGTAGTGAAAAGAACTAGAAGACTTACAGTCTCAGGGATTGGGTCAGATTTATAAAAGGGTTTTAGATTGTCTTCCAAAAACTTCTCCCCGAATGACTGCAAAACAAATAACAAAAGAATACATACAGGATAAGATAGAAAGTCGAGGATTAGCTGAGAGAAACCTTGCTAACCTAAGGTGATCTCTCAAAAAGGAGCAAATCCCAAAGCTCCAAAAATGAATTCCATTGCACCCCTCCCATTAATGCCAAGCTTTACCATTCACCAACAAAGATTTCAACGGCTAAAAAATTTAATTGTTTCAAGAGTATTATCCAACTCATCGAGGCTAACATCATAAAATCAAATTTTCAAGTTGATGAACTATTTTACTCTATGTAACTTTGAGAAGGAAAGGCCTATCACTCCAACTTTCTGATTTATTCAATCTACTTTCTACCCTCCAAACCCCTCATTTATAGTTTTATTTTAAAAGAAAACAATAACTGATTCATAAACACATTTGATCTAATTTAACACAAGTGGAAGTAACATCCGGAATTTGCCACACAGGGTTTATCCAAAAGTTTGGTTCTAAAGTTAGCAGTGAACAAACCTTGACACTGTCCAAGGTTATTTCACCTTCCAGTACAAACTTCCTCCCATCTTCATTTCCTGTATATGCGAGAACCTGCACCAATTCTAGAGTTAGATGCTAGGAAGTTTATGGAAGTTCGAAAACAAAATATTTGCAAAGCAAGTAAACTAAAAACATCTTACTCTTGGGGCATCACCGCTAACGCCAAAGTACTCTGAAACTGGTTTTCCAACATCTTCATTGTCGATTTCAACATACACAGAGATAAGCTGCAAGGTTTTTGAAAAAAAAAAACACGAAAGACTTTTGAGTCAGAGAATTGGCAAAAGCACACTATGCAGACAGCTATTCTTTATAAAGTGACTAGCTGCCCTAAATAAAGGCTTTTCTTTCTTCTGAGCATGTTTCCAAGAAAGTATCAAAAATCATAAACACCCCCCCCCCCCCNAAAAGAAAGAAAAACCACCCAAGATCAGCCTGCTATTGTTAGCTTAATGATCACCTGCTTCTTAATGGCATTTTCAAATATCTCTGAGGCACTTTCCCGAGTAAAATAGGTGACAAGAGGAAGTTTATTCTGAAAAACAAACTCAGCTATTGCTGACTTGGTAAACTCACCGCCTGCAAGAAAGCATGACATTGATACATACTTCTCTATTGAAATGATTAATGCTACATAATTGCATTAGCCAAACTAACCGAAGTGGTTGATATTTTCGGCTTCCTTCTTAATTATGACAAGAGCTGGACGTTTGGCTTGAGAATCAATGTGGAAGAGCTTTGCCACATCTGGACTGGCAGTCTGATAGAAGTTGACATCATCTTCTAGTGCAGCAGCTGCAGCAAGCTCTTCACTTTTATCACCCTGCAAACATGTAAAATGATTTTCTTAAAAAATTTCCACACGGATATATGCTACAACAGTATGTTAAGAAATGCTACCAAAAATGCTGCCAATTACAAAAAAATAGAACTCAACTGCCATATATTTCTTTTTATTTTGCTGGTGTCCCATTTTTATCCTTACGAATTATAGTTCATGTTTTTTCCCTCTAGCTGAGCTTTTCCCGTAAAATTAAAATTGATGAAGTGGTATTATAATCTTCACTTGCATTATCACAGTATCACCTATATAACTAGAAAAGGCATCCCAACTTTTTATATCACTGTATTACATGCCAAAAATCACGAAATTCAGCTTCCACGTATGTTTTTTTTTTTTTGATAAGGGCTTCCACTTATGTTCGTTTTACTCTTTGGTAAAAATCTTCTTTTGGTCTCTTTAGCTAGGTTTTGAATCCCCAAAAAATCAAAATTAAGAAAGCCACATCCACCTTTGTTATCAGTGGTATTTCTAGTAGAATATATAGCAGCTGGATATGATGAGATATCAGCAAATTCCTCCAAAAAAACCTAAAGTCGAGGAATTCAATCAATTCTAAAATTAGTTCACAAGCTACAGCAACTACTCTTGCCATCTATAAGATTTTGATGATTCATAGTACCATAATTTTGTTCCATAGACTAAATCTAAAAGTAAATTTAGCTTGAGTGAGAGAAGTAATACTGTACTATTTAATCACCATAATCTGAATTGCGTTTAGGTCCCATCATGCTCAATAACGAAAAGAAAACCAGCCTGGATAGAGGAATTACCACTAAATCATTCAAATAAGCCAACACTACTTTTTTCTCATCTTTCAAGACACGTTCTGCCTCCTCTGCCGTCGTTATATTTGATAGAGCAGGTCCAGTCTTCTTTTTTATCCATGAAACAATAGCATCCCTGCAATGAAAAACAAATGAAAATCCACTTCGGAATACAACAAAGAAAGGAATATTAAGATAACAAAACCCACGATATGGAAGGAAAGAATTTAACTTTTATGTGTTATTAAATTTATTTACACAATAAGGTCACTTAGTAATTACAACGAACTGTTTATATCAAGTTAAAAGTAAGTACAACTAACTGTTTATATCAAGCACAAATTTGTAACTAGGAAAACATGGAAAACGACATGATACAACGAGTCAAATTACATGTATGTTGTAAAAATCTTCAAAAAATCTAAGCAAAGCCAATGCTTAGAATACGCATTAAATGTGATTAATCAACACTTTCGACCATATAGTAATTTAATAGGTTTCCAAATTCTTTAACGAGCTCAGGACCATCAGTCAAGAGCACATCAGCAATTCATTTCAGCACTCACCAGTACTTCCAATGAATATACAAATGAAACTAGACATCGTACAAATTTAAGATCCACTCTCACAATAATTTGCATTGTTAGAATTTTTTTAAGAATATAAATAAAAGTACAAGTCACTAGGAAGAGTAATAAATAGAGAAGAGTCACATGTTAATTCACCAAGCAAGCCGAAAATTGAGAAGTCACACACAAACACGCAAATTCAAAACACTACAGAATCAAGTGAAAACCCAACTTACTTGTTTCTTTCACCATTGTAAGGCTTGTGAAGGCCATCAATGAAGAAGAAAACAGCGGGATAGCCTTGAACATCATACTTCTGAGCCAGCTCAGCTTCCTCAGTAGCATCCACTTTAGCAAGCAGAACATTCTCTCCTTTCAGCTCCGTCGCGGCCGCAGCATACTCCGGCGCGAGTGCCTGGCAGTGACCGCACCAAGGCGCGTAGAACTCAACCATAACATGTTTATTCTTCGCAATAAACTCACTGAAATTCCCTTCCTTCAGTACCGCAACATCCTTCTCATCCACTGCCGGCGGCTCGTACGAGTCGTATCCTTGATCCGAAGCATCGGAATCCTCCTCAAGATCATCGTAGTTCTCGTAATCGTGGTGGTCTCCGTACGGATTGGAATCTGAATGAGCATCAGCAGCAGAATCCTCTTCTTCGAGGAAACTGAGATCTTCTTCTTCTTCTTCAATATTTTTGCTGTGTAAAGACGACGCCGTGTTGAAGCAAATGAGACTGAGTAGAAGAATCGAGAGAATTAGATATTTCTTCATCGCCATTTTGCTGAAGAAAGTTGAAACTGAAACAAGAAGAGAAGTAAAGAGGGAAAGTCTTCAGTTGTGTACTTGTACAAGACTGGTAAATAATACAAGTTGTACGTTATGCTTATGTCATTGTACGTTCATCAAGAATTGCTGATCCCACTTGATTAAACGGAGATTTTTGCGCTGATTGGGATCACGCTGGAGGTAGGCACGTGTCACTATTCGGTTGGGTCTTTTGAAATAATAGGCTAATAGGGATTTGACACATCAGAAAAATAAGTTGGTGAATTAAACTGTTGACTTTTGACTTTTTGGATATAGTACAAGTGAGATGCCATCGAGAAGTAAAATATTGACACTACGATTAGGAGAAATCTAGTGCTCTCGTATATGCCACATCAATGTTTGACATTTTAATGTGCCAGTTCTTTTTTCTCTTCTTTTTTTTTGNTTAATACAAGAATTGATTAGTCAAGCATCGAGGGTTAAGGGTGACAATGTATAAGATAAATTAATTATCCAATTTATTATGATCCATGGCAAAATATGTAACTTGAATCTAGCATCAGTGTTTGCAATGTGCTGATGTGGGGTTTATATAGCCTTGGGCTCTCCCATCTCAATAGCTAATTTTTGTGGTGCGGTTCTTCCTGAGTTGTATCAATGGTATCAGAGTCACCGACCGCCCTTCGTGTCCACTGTGCCATGGATGGTGATGTCAGTATTGCAGTGTTCGTCCGGGGCTAGAAAAGTCTAGCGCACAAATATAGGAGACGACGGATGCGGAGCGTGGTAGTTTGCGTGCCGGCTCCAAGCACAAGCCACTAAGGCAAGTATTTTAGGCCACATTTTTCAATAATCACTAATATTAGGAACTATGTTTATAGGAGCTTTTTTAAAATAAAAACAAATATTAAATTAAAGTTTTGATTAAAAAGGGAAGACAGTTTGTGGGTATATAACTGATCGGGGTGAATTATGAGGTAAATTAGGTAATAAAATCAACACATTTACTTTACTGTGTGAATGTAGACTTTATTTTGGATTATATTTGACTTACTCAGTAGGATATATAACCCAAATTCTGCTTCTCTATTTAATTTTTTTCTCACAAAACAAAGTTTACTTTACTCCTTTTCCCCATTCTTCAAAGAAAATTATAATTTTGTCATTCCGGAAGCGCAATAAGCAAATTGAAGCAGTGAATTCAGGTGTTGTTGGCTTAGACTTATTTTTTTTATATTAAAATTACTAAGAAAAATAGTAGTAGTGGAATATGATACTTTAATTGATATACTTAATCAGATAAAAGATTTAATTCTTTTTCAAATACATATATTGCTTATAGAGTAATGTTAACAGTTCCTTAGATGAAAGACGTTTTCAAAATTAAAATTAATAAAATATTATCTAAAATCAACAATGTCTCAAGAAAGATTAAACAAACTGACTAATAATTAATGATTTTGCAACTCAAAATGTTAGAAAAACAATCTTCAAATAAAGTTATATATGAAGTATTTTGAAAATAATAATAATTTAAGGCCTCCTTTTAAAGTTTTGTTTAGGCCACTAAATATGTTGAGCCGTCATGTCACGACCCAAAATCCACCTAGTCATGATGACACTTACAACCCGTCAGGTAAGTCAATTAATAACTATCCAATTCAATTAATATTTAACTGACTCTAATACGCTCCCCAAGGACTGGTAGTACAAATCATGAGCTTTTAAGATTAGAATTTTACAAAGCTGGTATGAAATAAATACATCATCTGTTCGAAATATACATAAATATATTTTTATAAATCGAAGGCTACCATGAATAAGAGGCAGCTACGACCGGAACATAAGTACATCTTCAAATCTAGCTCCCGTTGATCACAACGACATCAGCATCAAATATCTCCACGCAAGGTGCAGAAGTGTAGTATGAGTACAACCGACCTCATGTACTCAATAAGTAACAAACCTAACCTTAAGGTTGAAAGTAGTAACGAGCGGGTACACAAGTCAAAGCCCAACACCAATAGCCAACAACAGCTCATAACAATATAATAAAAAGTGGTACAGGAAATAACTCAGAAATATAATGTTCAACTCGTTCAAAATTCCATAAAATATGTATGTTTTTCAAGTATATCAGTAAAAATCCCAAATCTTTTACCGAAAGTACCAAATATGAGTAAGTTTGCAAAATCATGATTTTTCCTTCCAAAATCGTTCAACAGGTAAATGTTTCATTATCAAATGACATGAGAAAAAGTACATCTCTATGCCTACATGTCAATGTGCATGTGAAGTCATAAAGGACGCAATATCGTATAGCATGAGGAAAACGCATCTCTATGACTGTATGTCAAGTGTGCATGTCAATGCAATGTAACATAGTGAACAACCATATGCATACGTTCAAAGTATCAATCCACTCATTCCTCCCAATCACACGGCACTCGCACTCAATAGGTACATGCACTCACTAGAGTGTGTGCAGATTTCGGAAGGGCTCCTTCAGCCCAAGCACTTTAATACGCACGGACAACTCACGTGCCGCACGGACAATTCACGTGTTATAGTATCAATATCTCAAAATCAGGCTCTCGGCCTCACTCAGTCATCAACCTCTCCGGTCTATCGGGCTCACAATGTCATGAAACTAGCTCAAAATGATGATATGATGTATCAATAAATAATAATAGAAACTGAGATATGATATGCAATTAATGAACATAACTGAGTATGAAGTTGCAATTTAAGCAAATGACTCAATAGCAGTAATGACTACAATGGGTCCCAACATGATAAGTATATATAGTCTAGACATGGTTTAATTTCTAACATAAATCACAGCTCGATAACTCTAGTACGTGGAGATTTCATGATTACAGATAAGTTCATGTAACTACACAGTATCACAGAAATAACGGAGTCACAGTTCATACGGTGCACGCCCACACGCCTGCCACCTAACATGTGCGTCACCTCAACATCAAACACATAACATGTATAATCAGGGTCCATACCCTTAACTCCAAGATTAGAAGAGTTACTTACCTCGAACAAGCCGAGTCCAATATCGAGCAAGCTAAACAATGCATCAAAAATTCTATTCTGTGCGTATCAACATCCGAACGGCTCGAATCTAGTCACAATTAATTTGATTCAGTCAACACAAATTATAGGAATTAATTTCATATCAAAATACTAATTTTTCTCACAAAAATCTGAAATTACACTCAAAATTGCCAGTGGGGCCCACGTCTCGGAACCCAACAAAAGTTACAAAATATGAACGCACATTCAACCACGAGTCCAACCATGCCAAATTTACCAAATTCTGACAACAACCCAACCTTAAAATCCCCAAATCTCATTTTCAAATCTCTAGGCCCAAATCCTCTAATTTCACCTCAAAAATACGTAATCTAGTCGAAATACTCAATGATAATCTAATATTATTGACTAACAATGATCACAAGTGACTTACCTCAAGTTTTTCCGTGAATTTTCTCTGAAAATCGTCCAAAACCGTGTTGAAAATGTCCAAAAATGGCAAACACTCGGAACCCCTTTGAAATGTATACTGCCCAGGGATTCCGCACTTGCGACTCACTTAGCCACTTCTGCGGTCTCGCAAGTGCGAGAAACCAACCGCTTCTGCAGTTTTCCAAGGCCTTCACTGTCCCCCGCTTCTGTATCCCAGAAGCGGCTTCTGCGGGCTCGCATTTACAAGGCTCAGTCCGCTCCGGCGAAGCTTGCGCTTCTGCGCCCATCCGTCCGCATCTGCGATCACGCAGGTGCAGAAATCTCCTCGCATATCAGACCACTGCCTCACAACCCCCTGCCCTCATCTACGCTTGTCATGCTCGCTTCTGTGAGCTCGCACCTACGAGAAAATATCTGCAGGTGCGATTGCACTAGAAGGCCAAAATTTCTAATGTTTAAGTCCAAATTTCAATGCGTTAGCCATCCGAAACTCACCCGAGGCCCTCGGGGTCTCAACCAAATATACCAACAAGTCCTAAAATGTCATACGAACTTAGTCGAAACCTCACATCACATCAAACAATGCTAAAACCATGAATCATACCCCAATTCAAGCTTAATGAAACTACGAACTTTCAACTTTTACATTCGATGCTGAAACCTATCAAATCATGTCTGATTGACCTCAAATTTTGCACACAAGTCATAAATGACTTAACGGACGTATTTTAATTTTCTGAATCCGTTCCCGACCCCGATATTAAAAATTAGCTCCCCGGTCAAACTTTCAAACTTAAATTTTCATTTTAGCCAATTCAAGCCTAATTTAACTACGGACTTCCAAATAATTTTTCGGACACGCTTCTAAGTCCAAAATCATCATACGAAACTATTTGAATCATCAAAACTGTATTCTGGGGTCGTTTAAACATAGTCAACATCCGATCAACTATTTCAACTTAAGCTTTAAATCTTGAAATTAAGTGTTCCAATTCATTTGGAACCCTCTCTGACGAGTCACATAATTATAATTGAACATAGATTAAGCAGTAAATGGGAAAATGAGGCTGTAATACTCAAAATGACTGGCCGGGTCGTTACACGCCCCCGGTGGTTTGTTATGGTCTATTGCAAGGTATGGGACTTGAGTCCCACATCGATGTTGCAATGCGTTGATATGGGGTTTATATAGCCTTGGGCTCTCCCACCTCAATAGAAAGCTTTTGGGGTGTGATTTTTCCTGGGTTGTGTCACAATTCAATTCAATTCATGACATTTTCATTTTTGCAATTCCGCTCAGGGGTTGTCTTGCCTTCGCTTTCATCATAGGTTCTTCTACTGTCAAAAATCAAGCATATAAGTTGTGTGTTACGTTAGTTGCTGCACATAGACATCGTGATTAATTTACGTTACAAGTTGGTTAAATTTTAATGAATTTAAAAATGGTTAATGAGTCTGGAGAGAACTATTGGGATCATTCCCGAAGATGGTGAACTGTTTTATTAGAGGAACGGCCTCATATTATTGAGTTTAACTAATATCTATGGACGGTGTAAAAAACATTATACTATTAAGTCA